ATTCCTTTACTGGCACACTCTAAGCAAACTGAACACCTTGCTGTTTGATAACTTTGTACTTTCTTGAGCTGGTCCTTTCTTCCATCTCCCTTGTTACTGTGTAGCTTCAATGCATCCTTTAAGTCTCATCTTAGATGTTACTTCTCCTCGGGCAAAACCTCCCTTGACAGGACCCTGCCCCTTTTCTGTGCTTCTGTGTAGCCCACCTTCCTTTCCTATCAGCTGCCACAACTCCCTGTGGCTGTTATGTATTAAGCGGCTAGTCCTCCCCACCACTGTGATTGCCTTGAGAGCAGGGGCCTTGCCTGTACCGCTTAGCAATGTATCTGTAGCGGTAAGCAAAATGCCCAACTCATACAGGATTCTTATGAGGAAAGCCAGTCTGAATTCTTATTGAAAAAGCTGCCATTACGGCCCACAAAATGTCCCATAATTGACATCACTTGATTTAAATTGCATCATGTGACATTTCTTCAGCCTTTAGCAGTATGGTTAGCATTGTATTAATAGAATTTTGTGCTTGTTTACATATGTTTTTGAAAATACTTTTATTATCCTTTTCTCATTTTCTTGCTTATATGGTAATCTCTGGAATATTTTAAAAGAATGATAGCTTTATTTTCAGGTACACACAGTTACTTGTACTCAACACAAATCAAATTGCTTTGCTCCCTAGATTGTAATTATTTTAACTGAATATAAATATGTTTTTCTAAAATGTCTTTAAACAATTTTTAAATGAATACTATTGTATTTCTTTTTTTAATGTCAATTTGCTTATTAAATTATTTTAATTTATATAATGCAAAAGTGACACTCATGCAGCCCCTGTCCAGTTATAATTGGTGGAATTAGAAATAATATTTTCCTATTGTTTCCATCAGAATTTATTCAGTGGAAGAAATCTTCTAATTATTCAGGTTGGGATTGTGGAATTTCACAGGGACTAGAACAATGATTTTTGGAACAAGGACAGCCTTGTGAAAGAACTGTTGTATAAAATTGTTGAGGGGAACAAGGAACAAGGATTCTTGTTTTGTGAGGAATACTTAAAGACATGTAGCTATCTGTTAAATGTTCACCTTGTTTATCCACATTCTGCAGCTTTATTTCTAGACCCCAGAGAGGAAAAGGAACTCATCATTGGGGAACAGGTGGGCAGCAGAAGCTGCTGGAGGCTGTGAATATGCCTCATAGAGTTCAGCACCCAGCGCAGCAGGATTCACTGCAGAAGCCTGGGGTGAGCAGGTGCTTGCAGGTCATCTCTGGTCGCATAGTTCAACACTACTACCACCACTATCAACAACAGTAACAAAAGTAAACATCCAAACCAGGTATCAGGAGAGCTGCTGCCTCCCTGTTTTCAAGTATGCTTCACAGAGAATTCACCAAAACACTATCCTTGTAAAAAGTCCCAACACAACTGAACACAAAAATCCTTTAAAATTCTCTGTAAATACATTTGGCAAGTGGTCTGTAAACAAAATGATTTAAATATATAAAAACCAAGAATTGCTTTATGGATGTTTTTCAGCAACTTTTTGTTAGCATTCCCTAACACCTTACCTGTGATAGATTTAAGATCTCATATAAAAATCTAGTGATTAACCCTTCAAAAGTATTCACCAACCAATCCTAGCTGAATATTTTTTTCTGTCACATCCTGGTCCTCCTTGATTTCATGACTTCTTGGGTTTAACACCAACTCTAATTTCTAGAATGAGGTCATCAATAGTTAGGAGGAAGGACTTTAACCAATGGCAAAGGGGATCTAAGGCTCTGCCCCACTAAGCCATCTGACTTCAAATTTTCTATATTCAGGTTTACTCCCATGATGTGCTCCTCTGTGTTGGAGGGCAAAAGGGCAGGAGGTCACACTTTCTCTGCTTCCACCACTGACACATGATACTTGCTTTTATAAACTGGGAATGATTAAAAAAAAAGAAATGCAAATAAACAGTATTGAGGGCTCATTTCATACACTTAAAAAATTGTGGGTTTCTTTTTCAGACTATACATTCACACACAGAGAAGTCTCACATAATATTAAATCTTGGGGAGAAACACACTTCAAGCTTAAATTTTATGTCAAAAATGAATTTTTTTCCTTCAAATTATAAGTCATTTTGATTTTAAATATATACTCATAAACAGAATTTTTTGAAAGCCTAACTGGTTTTGTTTTACCCTTAACCCTATAGTTCAGGTTTTCAAATTGCTATAAATATAGTTATGATATAATGTGAATAAATCTAAATAACCTAGTTCAAGCCTTTCTAAGTAGACTGAGCATATAGAAAGATAAAAGAGTCTGTCTTCTTTTTTAGAATCAATTTGACAGGCCGTCATATCCAATTTGATGGTGAGTAGAACAGGACTTGTTAGAAAGACTCAGGTCATTCCCCACCAGGGGGCAGAGTGCAGTGGCCTTATTATGTAATAGACTTACTTTGAAGACTTCTGCAGTCCTTAGGCTAATGGTAACTAAGCTGGAATTTATGCCCACACTTCTGTCTCCTGCTATACTTCTTTCTATGCTACAGCTATACTGACTCTCCAAATTCTTTGAATGGCCCATGCTCTTTCCTGTATATTAGATAATCTACCAGGAACCTTCTATACCAGTCCCTCCTCATCTCTTCATCTGACTAATGCCCACACATCCTTTAGGTCTCAACTCAGACATAGCTTTCTCAGGATAGTCATCCCTAATTACTTTCTCTCTACCCACATTTATATACATACATACACACCTGACTAAGTTAAACCCCTAAGCCCCTCCTCCTTGCAGTACTGGTCACTTTTCCTTCTTTACCTTTACAGTGTTTGTAATTCTTGTTTGGTGTCTGTTCTTCCCACAAGTCTGTAACACTAGGGGAAGAGGATAGTGTGTCTCATTCTTAACTGAATCTTGAGCATAGCAGAGTATCTAGGTAAATGCAAAAGGAAGGAAGGACAGAAGGAAGGAAAGAAGAAAATGATGGGGGGATGTGGGGGGAAGGAAAGGTCTGTGCAAGATTGTAAAATCTCTATCCCAATGGATTTAGAAGAAGCATATAATCATTATCTGATCTGGCTGGTTAGACCACACTATACCTCAAGGTCCCTTCAGTTCTGGATCATGTTAAGTCAGCTATACCTTCTACAACTTTTGGTCTGTGAAAATACAGCTCCTGTATCGTTCACTGGGAAGATTCTGGAACAGAACTGCACCAATTAACTCAGCTAAATGGAGGACACATTTATTCCAATTGATCTCAGTTTAACAAGGGGTGAACTATGGTCAGCCATATATATTTGGCCCAGGTCCCTGCTCTGTGAGAAGCAAGTGATAAAACACTCTCTCTGGCAGAGACTGAACAGTTGTGTTCCAGAAACTGCAGGGTATGACTCTATGGGTATAAATAAATCCACCTCTTGACCAAGACAATCTTTAACCCTCTCCTCAGTTTGACTCAACTTTAGATGAGTTTCTTCCTGACCATGGGCCCCTTGACTTCCCTTTCCTTAGAGCATTTAATTTTAAAAATGCTGTCATAAATTCTTTCTCTGTCCCTCGGAGGTATACATTTTTCTCCTAGCCTCTTGCCAGTTTTTACAGCAGAGAAATTTCTTTCTTAAGGACCTGGAAGCCATCCCTTTGAAATGTAATCATCAAGAATGATAGCAAACCCCTGTCTCCCAGTTTCTGTGGGAAGTTGGGAGCTTAACTTAGATAAATGACAATTATCAAACACAGATGAGTAATCACATTGACCAAGTTCCCCTCAATGTCCCCTAGCACTTGCTCACTAGCTCATCTCAGCACCTAAATCTCCCCCAACTTTTGTTTCAGCATAATGGAGTTCAGTGTCTCTGGCCTATTGGAATAGTCTTGAATAAAGTCTTTTTTACCTGTTTAACTCCACCTAGTGCAATTTTTTTTGGCACCTGCTGGGAAGGGATCAAAAGCACTCACATGAGGGGCGCCTGGGTGGCTCAGTTGGTTAAGCGGCTGCCTTCGGCTCAGGTCATGATCCTGGAGTCCCTGGATCGAGTCCCGCATCGGGCTCCCTGCTCAGTGAGGAGCCTACTTCTCCCTCTAACCCTCCCCCCGTTATGTACTCTCTCCCACTCTCTCAAATAAATAAATAAATCTTTAAAAAAAAAAAAAAGCACTCACATGAGGTTTGGCCCGGCTCATATGTACACTTAAATTAAATTGGAGCTACATCACTCATGACTGATATGAATGTTCTAGAAGGTGGCCAAATTTTTTTAAAAAATTGAATTCACTGAATAAAACATCAGTTAACTTCCTTTTAGTGAGCAGGAGGATTATTTTTATTTTGGGGAGTGGGATTGTTTTCTTATAATGCTGCTATTTTGAGATAACATTGAGGGGGAAGCATCTGATCACTTCTAGGCGATGCAAGTTTGAACAATGTCCAGGCACAAAATCTGTGGTTGTCATGCTTCTGAGCTAAATCAATTTTCGACCTCATAAATGCAGCTCATATAATGGTCTTGGCTGCAACCTTGAAACCTTGCTGAGCTCTTATTGTGAAGGCCCCGAGTGCCTGGGTTTTATTTTATTCTGATTTGGACAGCAGCTGATGGGTTTTGTGGCCTAAAGAGCACTGGGTTTGGGAGCCAGACTGCCTGGATCCATATTCTGGATCCACTGGGATTTCAGTTAGTTGCTGAACATCTGACTGAGTAAAAGTAAATAGTACAGAATCTGATGCCTAGTAAATGCTCAATAAATGTGAGTTCTTGTCATTGCTACTATCATCATCTTCATCATCACTTTCACTACTGTGAAAAACGAACAAACAGGACTTTATGATTTCAGAATTTACTACTCTTCCACAAAAAAAAAAAGTCATTGGTAGGTAGCAATTCTGGCATAAAATAGACTTTAAGCCTTGCTGAATTGCTTCATTCATGCATAATGCTGAGCCCTATTTGTGAGACCTTTGTCTTTCTTTCTCCCCACCCCAATCCCTGAATTTTTTTAGTGATGGATGGGCAGACAGAGATGAAGTCATTGAAGGTTATGAGGTGGAAGCCAACGGGGGAATCACAATAAAGCTGCAATCTCCAGAGGTCAGGTCATTTGATGATTATTTCCTGAAGCTGAGGCTGGACACTAATACAAGGAATCCCTGGTTCCCTGAGTTCTGGCAACATCGGTTCCAGTGCCGCCTACCAGGACACCTTCTGGAAAATCCCAACTTTAAAAGAATCTGCACAGGTAATTTGTGTTCACAAAATAACAACTCAGAGGTTACAACTCTAGCCCCTTTACAACTTGTTGAGTGAGAGTAGAAGGTGTCAAGGCTGGAGTGCCAAAGACTGAATTGCCATCTTAATTTATAAAATAGCTAGAATGAGGAGAGTGTGTGCATGACCCCAAGGATTCATGTTTCTATATTCTGGAAGAACTGCTTTGGTCTCTGGTGGAGCAAGTTGTAAGAAGAGATAATGCAGGTCAGGGAAAAGAAAACTGAGAATTCAGGTATCTAGTATTCAAGCCAGAGGGAAGAGATTTTATTGCGAGCATGCTTTGGAAATGTTAGCCATAGACATAAGTAGGCAGCACTGGTTTGATCCCTTTTTCTTCTTTATGACTCGCTTCAATATACAAGTCTGAAGAAGAAAAGATAATGTTATTTATCCAGGGCCACACCACTAACATGGGTGTATGTGGACATAGGTGGCAAGAAACTGCACTCATCTGTCAATAGGAGTGATATTTCCTGGTGGGTCAGATAATTCCCATGCACTGCTCACTGAAGGCATGCCAGGAAAGGACAACACATTGTTCCAAGTTTTTCAGGGCTTGGTGAACTCCACTGGATGTCCTTTTCTGCCCCCCAGGAACTACCATACTTCTTAACAGACGTCTTAACACAGTAAGTTTTATGAGTGTTATCATTACTGCGTAGAGACATTGCTCTCCGCTGTCCTTTTTCAGTATTGCTTAATGTGACAAAAATAGATCCCCTTTGGTCTACCACTGTGCCATTCAAAGTCAGTTGTCTATACTGGGTTGATAACACAGAATGATGGACAGGCATTAAAGATGGTGTCACCATTGACTGAGATGGGAAAGACTCCAAGAAAAGCAGAAAGGATCAGGAGCTAGATTTCAGATTGAGTTAATTTTGAGATGTCTGTTAGTAGTGCAGCTATATATGTCACTTGGTCATTGTGTTTTATTAATAAAATTTAGAATACTACTTATTAAACATACTTGGATGTCTTTTTGCAAGGATTTCCAAGAAAATATCTTGTGACCTAAGCTTTCAAAACAAAAGTTAGAATTCTGTAGCCATGTGTGTTTTGAAAACCATTTTGGGTCTTCAGTTGTCACAGTGCATCCAAATGTCAAGGTTTAAATCTGAACTTGGTTAACGTTCATAGTAGAAAATTTTTTAAAAATTACACATTCATGAGTTGTTCTTATATTATACTTGACTCTCAGAGCTATTATTAAGAGCTTCTTATGTGATTACAACCTTTAATAAATACGTTTATGTTTGTATTTCATTCTGCAGTCAAACTTAGCAAATATTTCCCTTTGTTCTTAGTTCTAAGGAAGACTGAAGCCTTATATAACTTTTCTGTTTGGAACTAATTCATGAACTTTATTGATCTCTTCTGCTGCAGGAATCCTAGAATTTTATCTTTAGCAGTGTTTACGTTATCTATGTGTATACATTCATGTAAATTTACCTTGCTCTTCAGTTTTAATGTCTGTGTTTCTATGAAATTGGCTTCAATGCTATTGAAGAACAACTAAACTTCCACTTCATGTATCATTCTTGTCTAGTTGAAATCCTTGAATAGCAAATAAATTGCATAGTCTTCTAATGAATATGCAGACACATTTATGAAAATTAATGTGAGGAAGTTGGATGAACTCTTCCATACTATCGATAGCTGCTCTTTCCATCACTTATTTTTACCTCTTCTAATTGGATCATTTTGGTGTTTTGGTAAGTTTTGATATTGCAGTTAGTTTCCATAGAAACCTTTATTGAGCTTAATCTCAGATGTCACTATTTAAATAAAGAGTTTACATGCACTAGATTGTCATTTTGAATATTAAGGGTCCTGAGCCCAGGCTGAATAATTTGGGAATCACTGTAGCTAATTAAAAAGTACTTCATGCAAAGTCTACATCACTGCTTAATTAGTTGGACATATCAAGGGATTGGGGATGTGTTGGAAAGGTACTAACTGAAACATCAAAGCCTAACTTTTTTTAAAAAAGATTTTATTTATTTATTTGGAGAGACAGAGAGTGAAAGTGGGGGGTGGGGGGTGGGGGGAGGACAGAGGGAGAGAGAGAGAAGCAGGCTCCCCACTGAGCAGGGCTCCTGGAATCATGACCTGAGCCAAAGGCAGACAGTTAACCTACTGAGCCACCCAGACTAAAAGCCTGATTTTTTAAAAAAATTAATCATTGTGAGGACAGTGGAAAGAATAGGTATAAACGAATCAAAGTCACTCTCTTCCAGTAAATGTCTTAGTTGTTTACAGCGTTTGTGTTATGTTTGCAATGGCATAGTGCTTTATCCTTCCTGATGAGAATTGTGAAAATGATTCCATGGAAACCGTGAACGCATTTGGAAGCTTAACCACTGGGTTCAACACTGGTTTGGTTAGGTATCTGCCAAATGACTTGGAGGACCTCACTTAATCTCTGAATCAATTTCCGCAACTGTAGCATGGTAACAGTTTCTACTTTACACAAGTGTGAGAATCAAATGAAATAATACAAGTGAGATACCTTGCAAATTGTAAATCCTTACATAAATGTAAAGTGTTATTATTAATGTCATGGCTTACCAGAAGGCAAATAAGGTATAGAATGGGTCCCCTTACTAAATATTACAGGTTTTGAAATTACAAATTTAGCATAACTACATTCCAAGATGTGGAAACTAGAAACACAAGCACACAATCCTTAATCAACCATACTTATACAGTGCCAATATAGATATTTAATTTTTTTCCTATTTAGGCATTTACAATTTTTTTCTGATTATCAAAGTAATACCTACTACTATGATTATTGTATATAACTTGGACATATAGAAAAGCATAAGAACGATGATGGGCATTAAGAATTTTTTGTTATGGGTGCCTGGGTGGCTCAGTTGGTTAAGCGACTGCCTTCGGCTCAGGTCATGATCCTGGAGTCCCTGGATCGAGTCCTGCATGGGGCTCCCTGCTCGGCGGGGAGCCTGCTTCTCCCTCTGACCCT